TTCTCTAATTTCTAACTCTAACCCTAACTAATCTTAGGACCGGTGATGATCACCAGTGGTGATATGTAGTAATTTTCATATTTATTATATAATAATAATATTTTAAAAATATTTTACAAAATTGAGCAATTCTGTAAAAAAATGAAGAGCTGAAGGTAACATCATTATAATTAGTATTTTTTTTGACTGGAACATTACTTTGACTAAAGTATTACTTTTATTGTAAAAAAGTAATATGGTGTTAGATTTACAAAATAAAGAGCTAAAGATAACTTTATTATAATTAGTATTTTTTTGACTGAAACATTACTTTGACTAAAGCATTACTTTTACTAAAATATTTTTTTAACAAAAATATTACTTTATCTAAAATGTTAGTTTAACTAGAATATTACTTTAACCAAAGTGATACTATAAAAAAAAAATTGTATTACATATAAATGAATTGCCTTTCAGTTTTTTTTTTGAACATGGTTCAACAAGAGTTTCAAACTGAAGAGTTATTAGGTAAATACTATATAATTTTTGCATTTTATATGATAAATCAATCTAGCACTTATATTTAACACCTTTCTAATTTCATTAATTTGCTTTATAAGAACTATTATTCTATACTAGGTTTTAAGCAGAAGGAGAATTTCAGGATATATACTATAATCTAAATATCTTAATCTATAATAATAATTTAAATTTGAAATAATATATATCTTATCAATTCTGAGTCCAACTCTTGCCGACGATCACTAAAACCAAAATTTTCCAAACTATTTTTTGTAAAAACAGTAACTAGTAAGTAATGAAGAGTATAAAACTAGAAACTATAAGTCAGCAGTTGTTATTTAGAGGTAGTTCTTATATACTACCTGCTAACTTCTTCAGAGTTTATCACTCACTGCATATATGGCACTTGTCATTTAGAAGTAGTTCTTATACACTACTTGCCAACAAGTTCAGAGTTTATCATTTACTAAAAAGCAAGTACAGTAACTTTTCCTTTTTCCTGGAAAAAAGAGTTACTAGTTGTTGGTTCTTTCAAAAATAAAAATACTTTCATTGGGTGTTAGTGGTCTTTTCCTTTGGTCTCTCTTAGTTTTGCTAGTCTTCTCCAAAATTTTTGACAAAAAGTGGATAATTTGGCTTATTTTCTCCAAAAAATTGACATTGTTTACTTACCAAATTTGGATGTACCCAGGAATACAACTACGTGCCTTGTTTATCGGTGAATACGATACGCGATGTAATTTGTGGATATGGGGTCCTCCACATGACTGAGATTGGGTATCTGGCATAAGAGGCATCTGGAAGTGGCCGGTAGTCAGATAATAAAGGTGTTATACTATAGTCAAGATATACAAACATTGCAGTTGTTATAAAATTTTTTCTTAAACCTGGCATGGGTTATAATAGTGTATTTCTTGTTTTGTTTTTTTTTCTTTCTCTCAATTCTCTTGTACTATTTCTTTATAGAGGTAGTTCTCCCCTTTGTCAGCTCTTGGGCTTTTCTCTTTGTGTTTCTTTTTTTTATATCTTATTGTACCCTCTTTTTTTTCTTTTAAAATTTCTCTTTGTTTTATTTGTTTTTGTTAGTTACTTTTTCATTTTGATTCTTGGTATTATTGGTGGTTTTGTATTAGATATGAGATCATCACTTTCTTTTGCTCTCAGTAAAGAAAGGAGATATGAAGGGAAAAGCTTTGACGGGCTGACAAAGTTTATCTAACTTGTATACAGGTTGGTGCAGCCAGGTGATGTCAGGCTCGTAATCACGTGACTCTCTGTTAATGGTTAGGAATGATATATGTATTGTTCAAGATAGTTTACTGTCATCTTAATATAGTCACAATAAATTGAGTATTGGCAAGACTGTCAAAGATTTAAAAAAAAAAATAATAATAATAATAATTTAAATTTGAATGAAAAAAATGACACACTATCTTTACTAGAATTACAATTTATATTAATAAATCAAATGATCAAAGAAAAATTAAAGCCACTACCAATTATAATAACTTTAATGATTCTAATAATTTTAATAGCTCTAATGATTATAATGATTTTAATAACTTTAATGATTCTGATAATTTTAATAACTCTAACAATTCTGATAATTTTAATAGCTCTAACGATTCTGATAATTTTAATAGCTCTAATAATTTTAATAAATTTACTGATTATAACAATTCTAACAATTCTGATAATTCTGGAGTTATTATATAGCTAATTACTTCTGGGGCTAGTTTTCATTCTTGGATATCACTTGAAAAAAGTTTTAAACATTATAAAAAAATAAATAGGTTTAAACTAATAAAAAAGCAAAAGGATATAGACAATAAAACTAGAATTAATGGTTATTGGTGCTTTGTATGTAAATACTCAAAAGATCCTAAACCAAAACATACTAGTAATCACACTCAAGCTCAACAAACCTATTCAAAAAACCCAATGTTAATGGCAATGTAATGCTGGCTATAGAAAAACTAAACAAAAGATTTATATCAATAAATTTATTAAAAAGCATAATTATAAGCTTATACCACATTATAAGGAGTTTGCACCATCTTTGTGACAATTATTACAAGATATTCTTGACAACAAAGACAGTATCTTGTTAATAAGTTTCTTGATAGTAATATTTATACTAAGGATCTTTACAATACAATTCAATGTTATAAAACTCCCACTGCATTAAAAATTAATCAGGATACTGCTTCAATGCTTGAGTATTTAATTTCTAAACAATATGAAGATCTGAATTGAAAAGTTAATATGTATTTTGAAAGTGCAAATAATTCTTTGGTATGTTTTTTTTAGCAAAGCACTAGTTAGTTTATGTTGTATAAATGGTTTTATGACAAAGTTGTAAATATTAATACTTGTAAAACCAACATTTATTGAATGCTATTAAATATTTTTGTTGGTGTTGATTTTTATAATCGAACAAGAATGCTTGCACAAGTATTAGTTCAAGATAAAACACAAGCCACTTTTGAATGAATATTGCAATCTTTAAAAATTTGAATTATAATATTATTCTACAAACTATTTTTACAGATGGTGATTCTAAAATGGCTGTTGCAATTTATAATTAATTACCTAATACCAAACTCATAATCAGATATTTGTTTGATTGGCTAATGTAAATCAATTGTCTGGATAACTACCAGATAACTTATTCATACACTTTAAAATACTTTTTGATAATGTAATATTTTACTAATAAAAAATCACCACAAAAGCCACTCCAAGCTTTAAATGAACATTAATATTCACCATGCAAAAGAATCTCAAAAGATCTCACTTTTTGTAAACTTTACTTGGAAGACAAAATATATCACTATCTATTGGGTATATGAAATTATATAGTAAAGTAAAGGTAACTGGAGATGTTTTTTATATAAATCTATTTTATTATGTTAGATTTAAATAAACTTTATTTACAACTGTTTAATTTGAATAAGTACAGGCTCTTAGTAGTAGAAACTCCAGGCTTAATGCTTAAATTTGTTAGTTCTTGTAGTGTATTTAGATTTGTTAGCTGTAAATTAATAGTTAAATTTTGGGTTATATTCTTGTATAGATTCTTTAATAAGTTTGGGTTTACAGTATTAGTAATAAATATTATATTTATCTACTTTATATATATCTATCTATTCTCTTTCTCTAAAACCAAAATAATAAATTCTTTTGTATATATTTATTAGTTTGTAAGTTTTGTGAGGTTTTTTCATTTTTTAGTACTGTAATATAATTAAAAAATTATATATAATGATTACAGGAAATCATGAATAAATCTACAAAAATTAACCAATTATACAAATATTTGCCTATGAATGTTAAACACCACTGCTCTTGCAAAAAAGCTTGGTTAAGTTCAATATAAAAAATTTTTTGATCAGTTTTATTGTGTATATAATAGTAGATATAAAGAGCTTTTTGAAAGCAGATAGCAATAATTAATAAGCAACTTTTCTAAATATGAATGATATTTGTATTGATTATACAGATTATGACATATATAGGTAGTGTTCCAAACTGTTAAAATTTTACCAACCGGTTAGTTGCCAACTATAGTTGGCAACTAACCAGTTACTTAATCACGTAACTAATTTAACTGGTTAGTTGGTTAGTTGGTTAAGTTGGTTAAATTAGTTAGTTAGTTAGTTAGTTGGTTGGTTGGTTGGTTATTGGCTAAGAGCAATGATCAAAAAATTAGGCCAGAATTACTTATAATTTTACTAATGAAATCGCAGCTGCCTATTAAGTGAAAATTGTTCTTGGGCCAATTTTATTATAATACAAGCTCATTTTTTAAATATTTCTATTTTTGTAATGAAAAAATTAAAAAGTTGATTCCGGCCGGAAATTAGAAACAATTATGT